AATTTAAAATAATTTGGTCATAAATTTCAATTTCAAATTAGATACCATACTTTTAATGAATACAGTGTTATTTATTTTTATTTAAATTTTTTTAAAAAAATCAGATTGTGTTATTTTAGAAAATGATATTTTGTATTTCTTTAAAAATATTTCCTTGTAATGCCTCTCTCCTCTAGATTCAAGGATGGTGCCTTGTGCAACAACTAGGCTCCCCTCCTATTAGCATCCAGCCTAATAGGTGAGTGTCTTTGTTGTAGTCGACTTTGTATTTTTGTCTTTTGAGTTAGTTGGTTGTTTATTTTTTTCTTTTTTATCCTTTTGTGTTATCGCGCTAAGTCACGTAATTCTTCTCAATATGTGTCGCTCTTACGCTTCAGGTGTGTTCCAGCTCTCACACTTCTGTTCTCAAATTCACTTTATGTTACTTAGTTATTGCAAAATTATTACATGAATTATTGATCTTGACTGACTATTATTTCACATTTTAAGTAAAAAATTAAATAAAACTTATACATTTTGGTAATAATTTCATCTTACCATTTGTTATGGATAACTCCAATTTTGAATTGGATGCGGCCAATCACCAATCGTTCATATACAGACAAAAAGATAAATAAAGATGATATCAAATAGTGATTGACCGGGGCTAATTATACGACCATCAATTATTTTTGTTTCCATCCATATGGTGTGAACTTAGGTGCGTTTGCAGGTTTTCTTTGTGACTTTTATTCTTGCTTTTATTATCTTAGGGTAATGTGCAAAAAAATCTTCTTGTAGTATGTTTGAATTTGTAAATAATCCTTCTTAATTATATTTTGTACATGCATTCTAAACTATAACATTTTATTACAAAATATCCAAAAGCCTATATTATATTTCATCAAATGACTATAATGCCCTTTCAAATTACAATTAATCAATTTTTTTATTGAAATAAATTATGAAAAAAATATATACTAATTTGATGGCATATTCTCCATTAAATTTGTATAAATTTATCTTTAATTTTTAAAATTAATTATTTAAATAAAAATATTAAGTAGAAAATTTGAAAAAAATTTAATTAGTTTCTTAATTTTTCATGAATATATTACATGAAAAAGGTGTTTTTTTATTTAAGTTATTTATTTATATTTTATCAATATATTGTATGAAAAAAGAAGGTATTTTTCTATCGTAAAAAAGTTAAACTTGTTATATTAAGCTTATTTTAAATAATAAAATTTTAATAATAAGTTAATCATTTTAAAAAATGGTAGTTACAATTTTTTATTTTATTTTATTTATTTTTATGATAAATTTATACTAATAATAAAATTAAGGTGAATAAAATTAATATTGAGATAAAAGAAAAGATAGTAAAAATAATTTCATAAGAAATGACAAATTTAATGAGAAAGGTTAAAATAGACGTTTGAGATGTGTCTGTCCTTAATTACAACAAATCAATAGTAAGGAGCAGTATTTAGTTCAGGAGCGAATTTTTTTTTTTTGGTACTTTACCCATTATTTTATTCTTGTATAATTTTTGAACGACGAATCACCAATTGTTCATATATAGACAAAAAGTTAAATAAAGATGATATTAGACAGTGATTGATCGGGACTACATTATTCCGCCATCAATTATTTTGTTCCTTCCTATATGGTGTGAACTTAGGCGTGTTTGTTGGTTTTCTTTGTGGTTTTCTTACTTTCTTGAACTATGTTTGAATTTTAAAATAACTCCTTATATTTTGTGCACAATACCATTACAAGAAAATAGGTAATTTTTATTTAGGTTATTTATTAATTTTTCATCAATATATTGTATGAGAAATAAGGTAAAAAAGTTTAAACTAGATATATTAAGTTTTATTTTAAATAATAAAATTTTAATAATGAGTTAATCACTTAAAAAAACGGTAGTTACAATTTTTTATTTATTTTTATGATAAATTGATACTAATAATAAAATTGATATTAAGATAAAAGAAAAAATAATAAAAATAATTTTATAAGAAATGACAAATTTAATGAGAAAGGTTAAAATAGACTTTTGTGATGTGTTTGTCCTTAATTGTAACAAATCAATAGTTAGGGGGCAGTATTTAATTAAGGAGTGGGAGTTTTTTTTTTGGTACTTTACCCATTATTTTATTCTTGTATAATGACGCTCCTTGTATAATGACGCTCCTTGAAGTTTGGACAAATCTCACATTGAGATACCTTTTAAAAATTACTATCACTCAAATCCCAACTTACTTTTTTGTTAAAAATAAGCAAAATGTCATATATACCCTCATTTTTTAACTCAAAATATCATAAATCTAGAAAGTAAAAATTGCCCCTAATAAATGTCATCTCTCCCAACCCTCTTCTTTTTCTCTCTCCACCAACCAGCCAACTGCACAATTTTTTTTTTTTTCCTAGTTGGGAAACTTACACACACATTCCTCCACTGAGGTTCGAACCTCTAATCTCCCTTTGGAAAGTAGGGGCCTTATATCATTAGATCACAGGCCTGTGGGTAACTGCATAATATTTTACTTGAATGGACACAGATATGGCTTATATGATCTATTGCTTCGATAGTGCTGGAGATGGGAAGCTCATTACTTGCACTTCTTCATTTGAATTTATATCTATATGTATTGTTGGGTGAATAATAATAATAAAAAAAATGCCCCTAATAAATGTCATCTCTCCAAATCCACTTCTTTTGTTTAGTTGGGAAAACTCACACACACGTGTCTCCATTGAGATTCGAACCCCTAACTTCTTTTTAAAAAGTAGAATTCTGATACCGCTAGATCATAAGTTTGTTAGTAACTGCACAATATTTTACTTGAATGGACACAGAGATGGCTTATGTGATCTATTGCTTCGATAGTGCTGGAGATGGGAAGCTCGTTACTAGCTCTTCTTCATTTAAATTTATATCTATATACATTGTTGGGTGAATATTAAAAAATAAAAAAATAAAAAAAAATAAAAAAACCCTATCAAACAAAAAATATTCAAAAAAATTGAAAAGTAAATGCAATGTAAAAAGGAGGATGAATTGTGAACTTGCAAATGCATATCAATTTCTCTCTTTGAAATCGTGAAATGATTTTGTGCTTTTCAGATTTTTTTTTGGGTGAGATTGCAAATGGCCTGCTGGTTATTTTTATTTTTATTTTTTTGCGTAAATAGTTAGCTGATGGTACCCAAAGTTAAAGAGTTTAAAACAATTTTAAGCAAAGGTAAAATGAATCCTAAGAATTTCTAACATTCTTTTAGTTTTTTATTTTCGCTTAGAAGATGTTTTGTTTCTTCTTTCACGAACAAGAAGATGTTTTGCAGTTTGCACCCTCTATCTCCAATCTTCCTTATGCTACATCAACGATTTTGAAGTAAAACGAGAATTAGAATCCTTCAGATTAAACATTTATGATGTAAGTAATAATAATTTTTGTTTGGAGTTTGAGTTAAAAACGAATCAAGTAAAAATAGAATTAGAATCCTTCATATTAAATATTTGTGATATAAGTGATAATAATTTTTGTTTGGAATTTGAGTAAAAACGAATCAAATATCTATGACTTAGAGTGAAGTAATTTTTAAAATGTATCTCCATAAAAATTTGTCAAACTTTAAAATTGTTAAGTGAAATTAGTTCTTGAAATTCTTATTGACTCGTCGGAGTTAGTAAACTTAGTCTTGCAAATGCATTTGATCGAATTAAGGCTTGAAACTCGAAAGTGAGTGATTTGACTTCGAGATACATTCCAAATAAACTCCAGTTAGTAAACTCATTCTTCATTTTGCAAGTGTATTTTAATTAACGCTCGAAAGTGATTGATTTGACCTTAAGATACATTCCAAATAAAATCCCAATTAGTAAATTCAGGCTTGAACTGCAACCTCCTTCAGTGAGTCCTTCTCCTTCTTGAAGGTACGCCAGTGGCCGTTAGTAAAATATTTTTATTATTATTTATTATTTAAATATTAATTATATCATTTATATTAATTCAATTATTTGTATCAATTTATAATAAAAATAAAAAATATATATAAATTTTTAACTACTATTTTCTAAAATAATTAACTTATTATTAAAATTTTATTATTTATAATATAAAAATTTATACTCACTTTAAACTTTTTTACCTATAAAAATACATTCTTTTCGTGCAATATATTTATGAAAAATTAATAAATACTTAAATAAAAAATACTTTTTTATGCAATATATTGATTAAAAAATAAGAAATTACTTTAATTTTTTTTTTAAACTTTCTACTTAAAATTTTTATTTAAAAAATTAAAGATAAATTAATGCAAATTTAATGAAAAATATGTTATCAAATTTAATATGAATTCTTCTCATAATTTATTTCAATAAGAAAAATAGATCAAATGTAATTCAATAAGGAAGAACATTATGATCATTTAATGAAACATGGTCAAGACATTGAGACATTTTGTAATTAATTGTGATAATTTATGGAATTTTATGCATGAAATATGATTCAAATGAGTTATTTGCAATTTCCAACACGGTTTAGAAGTTTTTTTTGTACTTTATTCAATATTATATTATTATAACTCTATTTATATTTGAGTTATAAACTATGATGCATGTTAATAATAGATAAATTATTAAATACATAAACAAAATTATTGATTAATGATCACATTTGATGAAATATAAACTCTTCAAGAGAAAATGAACCGAGACAAATGTATTAATATATCACAAGAAATCTCAAGCACCCTTGGATTGAGTTGGTCGACAAAGAATTAAATGGCCCAAAACTAATACTGTACTAGTAATTTTTGGTAACAATGACGTGAAGTTTTTATATTTGTTTACGTATTCGTTTGTGATTGGCAGACAAACGTAATAATTTGTCCTTTGTAATAAGATTCGCAGCAGTGAGTGCGACACATTTTGTAAGATTCACAGCAGTAAGTGCGATTTTAGGTATAGAGGGAGTTAGGCTTTTTACATAGAAAAAGTTTATACTTTTTAGTGAGAAGAAGACAGGTAAGAAGATAGACAGTACCCCCCTCGCCACATGTCTCAGGCGAATTAGGCAATGGTCTCCGACTTTCCTCCTCCTATATATCTTCTTCTAACTTCATCACATTTTCTCTCACTAACGTTTTGATTTGCATATATAGCCACACGCACACAGAGATTATTGTATTGGAAGCTCCTAAGTCTAACTCTATCTTAGACCAATGAAAGGTGATACTGTTGTTGAAGATGGGTTCATGTGCGAAGAAGAGACCCATCTCACTGTTCTCAAGACCTCTCTCTTCTTCGCCGGCGATGGATTCACCGTCTACGATTCCAAAGGTGAGCTCGTCTTCCGAGTTGACTCCTATGGACCCGATAATGAGGTAATACTCATGGACGCCTCCGGCCGCTGCCTCCTCACTGTCCGGCGAAAGGTAAAATTTTATTCTTCTCGTTTAATCACTGCTAGTCCTCCATGTCTGTCACATTACCACACCGAGTTAACTCGGCGACTCATTTAAGTAGCTGTTATAAATCGAATATTCAAAGTTACAAACAAGGAAAAAAAGAAAAAAACACCCATTGAATTGGTGGGACATGGATTGTTTCCATATTTCTAAATTGCATTAATGGATATCTTATATTTGTCTTTAACTTCTGAGTTGTTTGATGGGTCCCTACTTGAACGAGCCTGAGTCAACTCGAACAAGTTCTGATTCATGTAATTACTGATGTTCGTTTCCAATAGTGGCCGAGTCTGCATCATCGATGGGAAGGGTTTATGGGAGAGAAGACGGAAGGTCAGCAACCGATCTTCAGTGTGCGGAGATCGTCGATCGTGGGACGGTCGAGCATGACGGTGGAGGTGTTCGGAGAAACAGGTGAGGAGTACCAGATAGAGGGATCTTTCTGTCAGCGCAGCTGCACCATCTTCAATGCGGCGAAGGAATCAATGGCTGAGATCAGACGCAAAGTGGATGCTTCGGCCCACGTGATGCTTGGGAAGGACGTCTTCTCTCTCTGCCTCAAACCCGGTTTTGATAGTGCCTTCGCCATGGGATTGGTGCTCGTCCTTGATCAAATCTACGGTGGTGGTGATTGGGCTGATGTGGACCCCACCATTATGGAATCCGAAGGTATGGTTGAGGTGGACACCACCATTGTGGAATCCGAAGGTAGGGTTGAGGTGGACCCCACCACTGTGGAACCCAAATCACACATTGATTTGAATGTCGTATGATTTTGCATATATAGTAGTTGGGTAATGTAATGGGTTTGTACAACGTTGTCTTGATCCTCAGTACTTTGTTTTTCAAAAGTCTATAAAGAAAAAAAAGGTGCTAGGTTTGAGCTGGGGTTAGTCAAACGCATGTCCAAACTTGGTTTGTTCTGGAGTGACGAAGATCCGTTAGAAAAATTAATTACTAACGTGTTTATGTTTATGTTTATGTTTATGTTTATGACACTATGGTGTTAAAACAAGAATGTTTATGACATAATGTTAAAGATATATCTCATTTATATGTGTAATGAGCTGAGTTTAATAAGCAAGCTAAAAAATCCTTCTCTAATTCTTGTTTATTTCATCTACAAGTGAGAGGGTCAAAATCCTTTAAGTATATTGAGTTGTTGGTTGCTTGATTTTCAGAGTGCAATATGATATTTTTTAGACGAGACTCGATGGAACGAACAGCACTTTCCTTAGACGGTAAGGGGGCGTGATGCCATGACTGGTGATGACTAATTAAAAGGAATTTGGTGGCCAGAATACTAGTGTGAAATAAATTTTTTTTTTTTAGGAAAGCATATTGTCACGGGCTTAGAGTTTCAGCACCACTCTAGCTGCTCCTGTGCGACACCAAGACGTTGCTTTTACTCTCACAAGTACTTGGTCAGCCTAACTCCCATGCACACTTTAGCCAACACACTCCCCTCCTGCGCTTACTAGTGTTGTAGTTGCCCTCGCCCTCTCCTCACTTGGCTTGCACACTCGCACACACTAAGGCACTTAAGTTGGCAAGGAAAAAACACTTCTATTACTTCAAAGAATGCTTTGTACAAGGCTAACACTCAAGCTCTCTACAAGGCTCTCAAGACTCACTCTAGGACTTGTTGTCTACAAAATGAAGTCCTACCTCTATTTATAGGCATCCCCATCCCCAATGGACGGCTAGGATACATTTTAACCGATGGTGGAGATCGATTCTCTAGAATCTTCTCCCACCTTCTTCACACTTCCATACTTATCCATAAATATCTACAACATTCTAGAATTCTCCATACTACTCCACACAACTCTGGAGAACTCTAGAACCTTCCACACACTTCTACATATTTCTACACATATCTAGAATCTTCCACACAACTCTAGACTACTCCGGAAGACTCTAGAAACTCCACTTGCCATGCAGTTGCCATGCAGCGTCCTCCTCAACGTCTGCGTGTCGCCTGCGTGGCACAACCTCCATAGGCGGGGCGTGACAATATTCTCAGTTCACTTTTATAAAATTGCACTTCAGTTTTAAAATGATACAATTACCCTTTTTAATTATTGTATGATCTTTTTGTCTTTTGTTCTTTTTCATTAATTAACTTTTTTGGTATATCCTTTTTTTTTCAAAATTCTTTCTCTGTTTTGTATTAACTTTCTCTTTTATCTCTCATTAAGGTTTGATATTGATTTTTGTAAGTAATAATGAAAGATTTCACAAATAGAAAAAAAAAATAACAGAGTTGAATGATGTAATTGATCTTGTTAGCATAAAAAAACATTAAATTGTGATTTCGGATTTTGGTAATAGGGAAGAATGAGGTTTTTTAGTTTCGGTTACTTCAAAGAATGCTTTGTACAAGGCTAACACTCAAGCTCTCTACAAGGCTCTCAAGACTCACTCTAGGACTTGTTGTCTACAAAATGAAGTCCTACCTCTATTTATAGGCATCCCCATCCCCAATGGACGGCTAGGATGCATTTTAACCGATGGTGGAGATCGATTCTCTAGAATCTTCTCCCACCTTCTTCACACTTCCATACTTATCCATAAATATCTACAACATTCTAGAATTCTCCATACTACTCCACACAACTCTGGAGAACTCTAGAACCTTTCACACACTTCTACATATTTCTACACATATCTAGAATCTTCCACACAACTCTAGACTACTCCGGAAGACTCTAGAAACTCCACTTGCCATGCAGTTGCCATGCAGCGTCCTCCTCAACGTCTGCGTGTCGCCTGCGTGGCACAACCTCCATAGGCGGGGCGTGACAATATTCTCAGTTCACTTTTATAAAATTGCACTTCAGTTTTAAAATGATACAATTACCCTTTTTAATTATTGTATGATCTTTTTGTCTTTTGTTCTTTTTCATTAATTAACTTTTTTGGTATATCCTTTTTTTTTTAAAATTCTTTCTCTGTTTTGTATTAACTTTCTCTTTTATCTCTCATTAAGGTTTGATATTGATTTTTGTAAGTAATAATGAAAGATTTCACAAATAGAAAAAAAAAATAACAGAGTTGAATGATGTAATTGATCTTGTTAGCATAAAAAAACATTAAATTGTGATTTCGGATTTTGGTAATAGGGAAGAATGAGGTTTTTTAGTTTCGGTTACTTCAAAGAATGCTTTGTACAAGGCTAACACTCAAGCTCTCTACAAGGCTCTCAAGACTCACTCTAGGACTTGTTGTCTACAAAATGAAGTCCTACCTCTATTTATAGGCATCCCCATCCCCAATGGACGGCTAGGATGCATTTTAACCGATGGTGGAGATCGATTCTTTAGAATCTTCTCCCACCTTCTTCACACTTCCATACTTATCCATAAATATCTACAACATTCTGAAATTCTCCATACTACTCCACACAACTCTGGAGAACTCTAGAACCTTCCACACACTTCTACATATTTCTACACATATCTAGAATCTTCCACACAACTCTAGACTACTCCGGAAGACTCTAGAAACTCTACTTGCCATGCAGTTGCCATGCAGCGTCCTCCTCAGCGTCTGCGTGTCGCCTGCGTGGCACAACCTCCATAGGCGGGGCGTGACAATATTCTCAGTTCACTTTTATAAAATTGCACTTCAGTTTTAAAATGACACAATTACCCTTTTTAGTTATTGTATGATCTTTTTGTCTTTTGTTCTTTTTCATTAATTAACTTTTTTGGTATATCCTTTTTTTTTTTTTAAATTCTTTCTCTGTTTTGTATTAACTTTCTCTTTTATCTCTCATTAAGGTTTGATATTGATTTTTGTAAGTAATAATGAAAGATTTCACAAATAGAAAAAAAATAACAGAGTTGAATGATGTAATTGATCTTGTTAGCATAAAAAAATATTAAATTGCAATTTCGGATTTTGGTAATGGGGAAGGATTTTGGTAATGGGGAAGAATGAGGTTTTTTAGTGGACCCCCCCCCCCCCAATGAGGTTTTTTAGTGGACCCCCCCCTCTCCCCCCCCCCCCCCCCCTCGTTATAGGATGCAAGAGTGAGCCAATAAATGCATAAACATCATTGTTATAATGTCGTACTATTATTAATAAAGTTGGTAATTTGGTGGGTTTTGACAGACTTTGAATTAATCATAAGTGGGCTGATCATGAATGGGTTAGTAGCACATTATCAACCTGGGGGTCATAAGTGAATTGGGTGTTAAATGAACTGATCATCCCACATATAACTTGTTGGTCGGTTCACATAATTTATTATTATTTTTATTATTTCATTTTTTTCCCTCCTCTACTAACAAATTATGTTTGTGTATAACTTTTATATATATATAAATTTATATTTTAATGTACTCACATTTCAAAGACTGATTTTCAGTCATTAATTTTCAAAATGGGAATATTTATTTTTTTAAAAAAAGGACTTATTGCTAACTAGTTCATTTTCCTATTTTATAGGACTTGACGGTACAAGTGAAGAACATAACCCATAAACTAAAGCCCATGTGCATAAAGCCCTTTCAACTTTCTTTCAAAACCTTTTATTTTTAAGCCCATCAACCATATCTCCTGATACAAGCCCATACACACGAGGAGAGAGAGAGAGAGAGAGAGAGAGAGAGGGGAGAGAGAGAAACGAAAGGAGAGATAGAGGAGAGAGAAAAATGAGGGGAGGGAAAAATAGGACGAGATATATATATAAAAAAAACAATAATTTAATATTTGAAAAAGTATCATATGTGGTCTCCTAACCCACTAATTAACCAACTCACTATAGTATAATTATACAGTCAAATATGCTAATCTAAGCAGTGGAGAATTTAGAAATGTGCTCAAGTTTGTAGAATACATCAAGTAGCAGAAGCTAGAAATATGCTCCATAAAAATGTTTTCATCACTAAATAAATCACGGATGGAGGGAGGGGCTACTAAAAGATCACAAACCTCTCTCGCTCTTTTCTTTTGCAATTTCTGAATTATTATATGATAATTTTTAACCTTCCATATATAGAATGGATATTAAATGAATGGAATTGGGATATTGGATGGAATTGAGCTTCCTTATGAAATGAGGCGTTAAAGGGAGCCACTGTGAAGAAGTTTCACGAGTTAGGAAGAAAGTTTCGAGCTTATATTGGATATGGGTTGAGAATGAGAATTGAAGTTTATGAGATCTAATATCTCGTTGTTTCTCAATAACTCAGTGGTGGAGCGATCGGCTGTTAAGTGACTGATCATCGGTTAAAATTCTACTTAGAAGATTTGATTCATTTCTTGCCTTTGTTTTCCAAATATTTTTTTAGAAATAAATATATTTTATCTCTTTGAAACTCATAAAAAATATTCACCCTGATCTTTTTTAGCCCTACTTTTGAACATATTATTTCTACATTTGCAATTACATTTACATACATAATCTGCCTTGTATGAATTCAAGAGAGAAGAAAAGAAAATTCCATGTTTGATAATAATTCGCCTTCCTCTACTTTTGTTAAATGGTTTTTCCAATAAAAATAAGTAAGAATTATTTGTTAATCTCAGCGAGTCTTGAGAGCATTGGGAAGGAGAAAAAATGAAAATGCTATGAGACCAAGATGACAAAAATGACAACAACAATGATATATATATATATATACACACACACTAATATTTTTAGCTCTCACTTATTAAATGATTTTTTTGTAGCAACTCGTTATATATAATCATATTTTGCTAATAAAGCTTGCAAAATTTTGTTTAATTAAAATGATACGTTCTTTTTAAATCTTCCATCAAGGTAATAAGAATATATTTTTCTTCAAATGAAAGCAAAGTACATATACTCAACCAAGGACCTTGTGGCCAGCGACAGAGTCAGGATTGCAAGGTGAACTGGATTAAGAGGAAAAATAATATTGCATATAAACTGGGTTGTGAATTGATATACGGTGACACTAAATATTTTTTCTGGACCTGAGCTATAACCAAGGTTAGTCCTTCAGTAATAATTGTTTGTGATCCAGTGATATTTTCTCTATTTTTTAAAGTGTATTGTCAGGATTTGAGTTTTCAAATAAGTAAAACGTGTATGAGTTTATGTCCAATGACAAAAAAAAAAAAAAAAAATT